CCCCAAAACCCCAAAACCCCAAAACCCCACTTAATTAGTTTATAGTTGACTAATATTTATCTAATTCACTTGTTTTACTTCTTCCTTTCTGTTTGCCATAAGCATAGACATTGATCCTTCGTCGTCAGAGTTTATGTTTTCGTGGTATTGTGATTGCTTCTTTTCTTCTCCGAATGGCACTACTTTGTTAGCTCTTTGTTCTACAGAATATATAAATGCAACATTCAAAATATTAAGGCTTGCAAAATTTAGGCAATTTATGTTGTTTTAATTGAGAGTGAAAGTATTTAGCTTTTTAACCTATTTCAAATAAAATAGTATTATCTTTATCTTATTGTTTGTAAACGAATGTCTTTCTAACTTTTGTATATTGGGAGAAATAAACTGGCCCTTTAAGGTATGATTCGTTGTAACAAAAAATTAATATTATAGATTTTAAGAGTTATGTAATTCCGGTTTACAAATAAAGATGCTTTGTTAAACAGAATTCAATGTTTTTATTAATCAAAATTTCAAGCTTCAAATCTCTACCTATTCTTTTGTTTATCCGTGAAAAGAACTTTGGTTTAATAAACTTTTTTCTTCCTTTCTTTTTGGCTCTCATTTTTCTTATTTTAATTTTAAGTAAGTTTTTAGAGCCAGCATCATCCCTTGTTTGCTGAATGTATCCTTTCTTCTGAGTTATCTTGTCAAGTTTGGATCTTTTATTTTCGAGTCCTTTAAAATCTTTGCAATAGTTTAAGATCGAATGGAGTTTATTTTTGCCTTCTAAACTATTTAATTCCTCTTCAATTTCTTTTTCTTCTGTTTCCTTCTGTTTGATTTCTTCAGGATCTTTCTTGTTCATTCTTTGATTCTTTAGTTCAATTAAAAATCTATAAATAAATTAAATCGGAACGAGGAGCTAGAGTTTGGAATTAAATTACTCTCTTTTAGCTTCATTTGCTGTCATAGGGTTGCTTCTGTCATAGTCAGTAATAAAAGTAGTCCTCCTTTGTTCGTAGGTGGTTGTATCATCTTTTTCAATGTAATCTGTGAATAGGTTTAATAGCAATCTAACTGGTAAAAACACATAAGCAATCATGAACCAAAGAGACCATTGGCCATGCTCATTTTCTTTTTCAGAAAGCTCTCTGAGGAAAACAAAATTGCCAATTGCGTATAAAAGCATTCCGATTGGGATAACACTAGCATAAAATTTAGCCATCGCACTTCCTGCAGCTTCAGGAATGGTGTATCTTCGAAGGAGCAAATATTTTTCAACCCAGTATTGTAAGAACACTCCGCTTGCTGCAATAATAGGTAGGATTGGCATTATAGGAGTGTAGAAACATACTACCATGAATATCAGACAAGTGTTAGAATAGGCAGATGAAATATCCATATTTGGACCCACGAATAGCTGATTGGCTTGCCTTTGGGTCATTTTTGAATTTATACCCTTTCTCTTCTCTCTCCACATCTTGATTCTTTTGATGATGTAATTGATGTTGAACAAATTTAAAATTGGTGCCACAAAGGAAACAGATATGATGTTGTAAAAGATAGTTGTGGATAGTCCTCCACTTTCAAACCATTTGTCTTTCTCAAGCCTTGTGAATATAGGCAGCAGAGCCACGTTAACAAATGTTGCAATTGTTAACTTCAGTGCAACTGAAAGGTGATATCTGGTGTATGTCATATGCTTTTCGTGGGATGAGAGCATCCTGATTACAAACTTGAGTATTGAGTTAACAAAAATAGTAATGATAGATGTTAAAAAACTAACTCCTCTTACAATCCATATCTCTTTGGAATTGTTTGAATTTTTAGCATTGTCTTCTAAGTCTTGTTTCCAAATATTGAGACCAAAGTAAAGACAGAAGACAAGCCCAAGTAAAATTGCTGTGATAGAATACGTAATAAGGCTTTTAATAAATCTCTGGTAATCTTTTATGGATAAGTTTTCCCAATAAACATCAACAGGATCTGCGGCTTGTTCAACAATGATCCTTTTATTGTTCCAGAACCTTTTCTCTATTTTAACTTGCTTGCATTTAAATACTCTATAATAGAGGAAAAATATTGTTTTGATAACATAGTGCATTTTGAAAATTTTAATCAACTTGGTTGCTTGGTGTTGTTTTTCAAGAGTAATAAAAGCCTTTCCAATATACAAATCTTTATCTGTATTAACATCCATATTATTCCTCAGAGTTTCAAATTCTGCTTCCAACTGTTTGTTTTTGCTTAAAATCTCTTCAAAAGAGGGGAAGGTTTCTTTAATTCAACAGTAATCATAGTCAACTCTTGGAGGGTTAATATCTATTCCTTGTTTTTCTGCTTCTTCCTCTGAAATGTTTAGTTCCTTTCATTTCTGTTCTCTGTAATAAAGTACATAATTCTTCATCTTCTGCCAATTGTCAAGCTCTCTTGACAGCCTCACAGACTCTTTGATGTCATAGCAATAGTTTATTTTGACGATGTTAATGCCGAGATTAGGGTCGTAATTTTCAAACCACTCCTTGACTTCTTCTTCAGATTTATCTAGGGGAAGATTCATCACATAAATCGTAAAGTCTGGAGGAGTAATGTTATTTTTCATCAATATTTTTCACTAAAATGTTTTGTCTCCTTCTTAGGATATTTTCTAGAATTAGGATCACAATGATTGCTCCAAAGTTTAGATAAGCCTGAATTTTAAGCTCTTCTTTCTTATAGTTTGTAGGAGTAGCTCCATAATTTCCCATACTTAAAGTGATGATGCTTGAGGGTTCACTTTCAGCAACCCATTCTCCTGCTTTATGCTCATTTGAATTAAAGATCAAAGCAGTGATGCTAAAGATGAAGATAATGGCCATAAGCATAGCAAAAATATACTTTTTGTATTCATAGTAAAGAGGGAAGCCTCATCCTAGGTCTTCTAGGTTAAAAATATTTGTACAAATGCTGAATAAGGGTGCAGCAGAATCAGAAGCTGGCATTTGACAGCATTGACAAAAATCTTCCTCTGACTCAATTTGACTTGTATCCTTTACAAAGTTGACTTCATCTCTAATATTTCTAACTCTATTTGCATTCCGGTGCTTTTCAGCCAATGCGAAATCAGGAGGTATTTGATCGAGTAACTCCTCTATGACATCTAGGTCATTTGTATCACTTTTATTCTCTTCATCAGGATGAAGAGTTTGCTTCTCATTCAGCCCCTTTGAGCTAGGCATTTGTTGAGATTCTTCATCTTCCTGAGAACAATGTTCTTCCCGACCTTTCTTATTTTCTTCTTGCTCCATGAATTTATTTGAAATTTTCAAATTAATAAAAATAAAAAGGGGTTTTGGGGTTTTGGGGTTTTGGGGTTTTGGGG